GGAGGCTGAGGCAGTAGGATCGCTTGAGCCCAGGAATTTGAGGTTGCTGTGAGCTAGGCTGACGCCACGGCACTCTAGCCTGAATATGTCTGATTTGACATTACATGTTAAGAAGATCATTTAAGACTAAGAATCCATGGCTTTCCTAATTTCTCTTAATTTTTAGTAATTCGTACTCAATTCTACAAGTGATCTGTTTCTGCATACCACCCATCTCTGGTAGGGCCATGGAGTTGCAGAATTCTAGGAGGTGGCATTTATGTTCACATGTATTACATAGAAATGACACACTTGTGCAAACTCTATAGGATACAACGGGACTGAGGCTCCTGAAATTGTGACTAATGGTTCTAGGAAGCAAGGCGAATTCTGTTATCTCTGTAACACCTCACCTCAATGACAAACAAATGATGCAATAACATGAATAAATGTTATTAGGAAATTAAAAAGCAAAACCCATATGGAAACTTCCTACAGAGTTCTTTAAAAAGGAAACAACTGAGATATAGTATATTACCTTCATTACCACCCCCATGATAGGCAGTTGTAATGTTTTCCCTGGCACTGGGGCAGGCCATCGATCAACATCATTACAAGCTGAAAAATATAACAAAATATTTCCTTAGTATATGTGGAAATATTAAAGTATTAAAAATGAGGCATTAGAACTATACTTTCTACAGAGCAGGAAAAATACACTGGGAAGAACGAAAGATAAAAGGTAAAAAGAAAAGTAATGAAAACACCTTACATTTCACTCAGAAATACACATGTTCTAGGACATAAATTGGTTCTTAAATTTTTTGAAAGCAACAAACTAATAGGTTTAAAGGGATTTTTCCTATTCATTTATATATTACTACTAAAATTAGCTACAAAAGCACACCAGCTGGCAGAGGCCTTCCATCTGTGTCAAGTGACATAAGGATTTCTGTTCAATAGTACTCTAAGTATTAGACATGTTAACTGAAAATTCATTTATTATTATCCTAATAAATAGATATCATCAAAGTGGCTAGATGAGACAACAAAAATGATGTTTGTAGGTAAAGATGCCAGCCAAATAGTTTTATACCTCTCTCCTATCATATATTACTTAAATACTTATTGGATTTTTTAAAAATCAACTTCATTTTTATCACTCATTTCCGGTAAAATTTTTAAAACTCCTTCATAAAGGTATATAACTCACACAATGTTTAACTCACCTGCTTCCAAATAAGGTTCACTCTTTTCAAAATACTCTGGTGCTATCTGTTTGAGCACAGTGTGAAAAAAATGAATATAAGGTAGCTTGCTGATCAAAACCAATGACTGGGGGGAAAAAAGAAACAATATTTTTTTAATTGCCTAATGATTATAATTTGAATTTGCCATTCATTTCTTGCATGAGCAATTACTAACAAGCTAAAGTCAGCAAAAAATGTGGATTTTGAAATAAAAAGGCTTTTACAGTAGATGGTTAAAGAAAACATAAAACCATAGCTGCAGAATGCAAACAGTTAAACCTTATTACTACACTTTAAGAGAATAATGGCATATTCACAGATTTTCCTGCTCTTTGGGAAAAAAAATTTCCTATAAACAGACTAATGTCATGGATAATTTCCAAAGCCTAGCTCTGTTGTCTTCAGCAAGCATTATCAGGAATTAGCCATGTGAACTATTCCTATTAAGGAAAAGAGCAAATTGTGATGCTTTTGCCAAAGACCTATGACTATTATATTTTATAGTTCAACCAACTTAGAAATTGTGACTTTATAGTTTGATCACTTCAGATATAAATTATGTTGGATTTTTAAAATGCATTTTTTCTTGAAAATCACTCTTCACCTTGTCATCCAGCATCAGTTAGTGGTCAGGGCAAATTCTGGTTATAAAGGGAAAAGTGTGTCTTGCTAGCAGGGATCAAATAGGATAGACTGATTTTTTTTTTTTCTTAAGAAAGAAAAAGAATTGGACGTTTAGAATGGAAACAATAATGACTAAAATGTTGCTAAAGTTTATTCACTGGCTCTTCAAAAAAAAAAGATAGTGCAGGCTTTTATTAATCATAACAATATTATAATCTGTTTATTCCTTCCCTTTACTCTAAAATATCAAAATTAAGCAGATTCTTCCGGCTTTTGACAGAGTTCCATACGATAACTGTAACTTATTGTCAGGAATCTAGCACAGAGATAGCAAAAATTCAACAGCAGTTAAACATCTAGGGACAGGTGTCTATAATCAAAAAAACAAAGATAAAATATAAACTCTAATATGTTAAAGATAAAATATCAAAGACTTTAAGACTGTAAAATCTAATAGTTTCCATTTTTCTAAACTCAATATAAACAGTACTTTTTTATTAGTGTATATGAAAATTACCTTCTGAAAGTAACCTCTTTTTAGAGTTTTATCTCGAACTTGTCGGAAATACACATATCCGTAGAAATAAGCAGGATCCTTCTATGAAAGAAGTAACAAATATATAGCCATCCTTTAATATTAGCATCAGGTTCCTTTATAAAGCCAAATCAAGATACGTGGTATACGCAAATTGCCAATTATGCTTTTCCACCAACAAACAATAACCGTGACAGCAAGTGCCAAATAAAAACCTTCACACTTGCCCAAAGATGAAATATTAATAATTGTAATCTAAGTACTAAAGTCAGATTTTTCCCCCATATCCTACTCAGCTTGTGTTCTTTATTTGTATCTATACTAGTTAACGAAGTTAGGAAACAATCAAATTCTGTATTTTCCCCAATGTTATATTCAGTTTTTAAAAAATTCTCCCTACAATTTTGAGTTTTTCAAGGCTAAGGGATCAATCTTTTAACAAAATAAGATGTCATAATGTAAAATTTCAAGGAGTTAAATGACAATCTGAATCTGAATTATTACCTCAATAATAAAGAAGCATTACGACGTTTATCAACATACAATTTTCTCTTTGGAGACAGTGTCTCACTCTGTCACCCCGGCTAGAGTGCAATAGCATAAATGTAACTCACTGCAATCTCAAACTCCTCAGCTCCAGTGATCCTCCTGGCTCAGCCTCCCAGAGTGCTAGGA